AGCGGTATGACTTTGTGCAGGTGCAGCTTAGGAGCACAGTCAGAACGAGTTAGGTGGAGTATAACGGCTCATTTAAACAACAAAGACACACAAAAAACAGAAAGGCAACAAACGACTGACTTTAAAAGGGATCCACATATCATGTCAGACACATAATAACAGGCGAGAGGGATGATTTTATTCCTAACAGGAGAAGTGCATTGAAGGCTGCGTGGGCGTGTGCGTGTGTGTGTGTGTGCGTGCGTGTGCGTGTGTGTGTGTGTGTGTGTGCGTGTCGAACTCTTATTTCCTGACACTCACAACCTGAACAGCAACTTGTTGGTCCTGAAGGTGATGGACTAGCTTACAATATCCGTCAAGCCGCTGCGGTTTCAAGTTGAAAAGCTTTCAGGGTGAAACTATAAAAACATCACAATGAACCTGACAGGGAAACTCAAGCTGACAGGACGATGGTGTTTGCTTTGGGATACAGTGGGTCTACACTGTAAGACATGGAGCTACAAACAGCGTCCTACTGTTACTGATCTGAAGCTGAAGTGAACAGAATATGGTGAACATTTTTAAATCAGCAACATGTTTACACGTTTCCTTTTGCATACCTGTTGAGTTCATGGAAATGGTAGTAAATAGTAAATGGACTGCATTTATGTAGCGCTTGTTTCAGTCTTTACGACCCCTCAAAGCACTTAAAGTGTTATCCATTAACACACATTCACACCGAGGCAACCTTACAAATTGTCACCTGCTTCTCAGGAGTGATAAACAATCACACAGACACACTCATCATCATCAACGGTCATGGGAGCAATACATTGATATTGTTCGAAGGCCAAACCAGATAAGCATCACAAGAGCTTCCTAAATAAAAAGCCAATGAGATGCTTCCATTGATTTATTGCAGAAATATTCTCTGTGGCACAAACACATATTTATGAAGTTTATACGTTTTGTTCAACAGGATTATCTCCACATATTGAAACCACCTTTAAGATTTTGAAGCATACATGCAATCGCCAAAAGTAGAAAGCTAATCTCCAGCAATGTGCCTCACTCACCTATATTTTCCTGAACAGAAAGATCGTAACAAAAGTCTGCGTCAGATTCTTTAGGTGTCCTTAAATCACAGAATTGATCAAACCTGTGTTCTTAAGATATCCCATAGTCTTTAAGGACAATTTGATGCCTAGATTTCGTAAGCTAAGAAAAACACTGTAACCCTTTTTCCATTTCTCTGTTCATAACTCTTTTTTAATGGACAAGGCCATTTCTCTTCTTAAAGGGGACCTATCATGCAAAATGCACTTTTGCACGTCTTTTAAACATGAATATGTGTCCCCGGTGTTCCAGGGAACTCACCAAGTGTCATAAAACACAACCCTCTCTATTTTCCTCCATACCCAAATCTCTAAAAAAGGGGCTGCAACGGATCTGATAAAAACTGATCCAGATTTGAACACTGTCCTGACGTCAGGACGGTGGCGCTACGGCTATTGGGCCAACTCCACCAATCAGGAGGAGACAGCCACGGCCATTGCCGTTCGAAAGCGCTGGAGACGCTGTAGTACATATGCCAGGCCTGTAGGTGGTGCTGTTCTCACTGAATCTGCCCTTGCAAAAAGAGAGCTAACATTTTTCAAATTGAGCGAAATGAGGCATGGCTAAAATGCATGATCTGTTTGGTATTTTGAAGAAAAAAAAGTATAAATATGCCTTATATAGGTATGGTCCTACACTATATTATTCAAATATAGCATGATAGGTCCACTTTAAATTTAATTTTCTACAGTGTGAAAGATCCGACCCTCACATGATTAATAATGACACATATTGTATGAACTTATTGTATGCTCTGCAGTGGACTTACGGTAGCTTTCTATGGTAGTTACACTAAGTAATAAAGACACATTGGTATTGTTTATTTCATGTGACAATGTGCAAATAAAAAACAAAGATAGCCACATTTTATTTTGTTGAACCAACAGAACAAATCATATATTGAAGAAAAATAAATCTTCCCCCCCCCCACACAACAACAGCTGCATAGCAAAGAGGATTTCATGTTTTATATATGGCTGCAAAAACAAATTTGTACCCGATATGACAGCGGAGCAGCGAAGCAAATAGTTGTTTTCTATCAGACGCTTACTGTGGCCTGCAGGGTTTAGTTTGATGCAACTGTCGCACTGCTGGAGCCATCTCAGCTAACAGCCAAGTGATGCTGACCACACACACACTTATAGACACACACTATCTCCTCCTGCACACACAACGCCTCACACTCCTCCTCTGCCATCTTTACAGAATCTCTTTGTGCCTCTTCCTCTCAGTTTATGATCTGATATAAGCTGCACCAAACTCAAATGGCCTGGATAAAAAGGCTAAGAAAACCCTGGCTTGGTTGAGCCTCTCTAAAAAAAGGAGTTATTACAACTGACCCAAAACCCAATAACCTTATTTAGACTGGAAATGTTATGCCGAGGAGAAATGAGGTCAGGAGAAG